GAGTAGAAAATGAAGGCTAATCATGTTTTGGGTGTATTATTCCTTTAAGGAGAATTCAGGTCAGTTTCTTTGACTCTAATTGTAAGTTTTTTTTGTCCCTTCCAGGAGCCATGGGGAAACCACTACCCAACTGTGTTTGGGGACCAATATGCTGAAAAGACGTCGTTTGTGTCTGAGGGCTTTTTATCCCTGGGAAATGGACAAATGTTGACGTGCGAATAAAAAGGACTTTTCTTTGGAAGAACTCGGCACTCCTGACCCCTATCCCTCCCCCCTTCGGCCGATCGGATGGCTCCGAATGACAGCATACAATAATGGATGTCATCACGCCGTTCAGTACTGTAGCCATGATGCAGCTCAAAGGGTAGGGTCAGCCGTGAGCCCGTCTCACCCGACCCTCCCACCACCCCTTTAGTTCCTGCAGGGAGCCGACTCCCCCTTCCAAGCGGAATCGTGCATACTCCTCCCCCCCCCCCTCACTCCCCCGTCCTCCTCATCTCCCTTCGAGCACCGACACCTCCAACACGGCTTCGGAAGACGGAACATGACGCCGGTTCATGTCTGATACACACACCTCTGAGGCGTTGAGCGTAAAACCAGCGGAGCAATGAATGGCGGAAAGGACTGCGAGGCGGGAGATGAGCGGCAGGCCGTCCCTGTCCAGGTCCCCATTGGCTGGCAGCGCAAGGCGGAGCACGGCGGAAGCGTCGTGTATGTGAGGTAAGGACTTGTCTGCAGATTGGGGCTGTTTTTATGCTGTTATCTCCTCTTTATGGTGGAAAAATGTTCAAAGTAGTAATTTAGTTGATTTTATTGAAGTAAAGGTTATCAGTTTAATGCCAAGTTAAAGTTCAGGGTCTCTTCTAAGGGATATCTGCCTTCTATGAAGTCAGACTTGACACCAAACCGATTCCAGTGTTAAACTGCAGCCGGATCTTCAAACAAAGCAGAAAACCAGTTTGGTGCCGTTTAGACGCATTACTCTGTCTGGTTTTCTCTGCAAACCGATGCTTCATCAAAATATTGTTCTTGTCAACAACAATCCCTTTTAGCTTCCTGTTGTGTTTCTCTGATCTCTAATTGGGTTTTATAAGCTTCACATACAGGTTCAGGTTGTTTTGTATTAAAAACAATAATTTGATTTGAGTGTTTTGAGTTTTTCTTAGGTTGGGATTAATGCGGGAAAGTGGAGTATTTTTAAATCTAGACGCTTAATGGGATGTGTATCCAAATCCATCCGTCCATTCTCATCTCTCTTCATCCTTCCATCCATTTTTACACCTGTCAGTCCATCCTTCTATAACCCCATCCATACTTCTGCCACACTTCTTGTTTGTCCTTCTTGTCCATCCATACATCCATCATCAGTTTACTCTGATCTGTCCATCCTCTGGTCTTTAAGTCTGTTGCTCCACCATCCACAGTAAGGTTAGTCTGTTTTTTCCAGGATTCACATCTAAAGTCCAACCACTGCAGAAATATTGACGTAAAGTCTTTAGTTTGTGTTTCTGTATGGATTATTTATATTTTTTCCTAAATTAGATAAATGAAACATCAAAGAAATTCTAATTGGTGGTTGTTCTCCATGAACAGACCTCCAGCTGCAGATCTTTTATAGCTGGGATATTAAAAGGGTCATAGAATGATTCTATAGGGTTTGAGATGCTGGTCCGTAAGGTCTCTGAATAGGGTGTGTAACATTGGTTGGGCTCTAAATGGCATATTTGCTGTTTTATGAGCCCTAATGTAGGGCCCTATAATTTCCACGATCACGGAATCGCGGAATTGGCAAATTAACGCGGAATCAATTGTAAACGCGGAATTTCTACATTTGAATTGAAATTCTGTTTTTGTGTGGGAGAAGAACGTACATCGGGGGAAATGCACACCGGGGGACGCAAATCTGGGCGACACAACCCCTCCCGCTCCGTCATTTCCGCTCACCCTCCCTCATCAAAACATTGAAAAAATGGCGAAGCGGCTCTCCACAGCTCCGCTTTCGGCGAAAAAGTTGATAAACACGACGCTAAGCCCTGAGTACAGAGCCGGGCAGTTCCCTCATGACTTTTACGTGTCAGGTGAACTATTGTTTTGCAGGTTTTGTCAAGCTAATGGAGCACTTTTATTTATAACCATTGGTTCATAACCAAAAATATTTTGTTAGTACATAGAGTGCAGTGTTATGTTATGTTGCATCATGCAGTAAAAGTACTGAGTAAATGTGTTTTTTTGTGTACATTTTAATCATTAACATTAAAAGCACATTCTTTTTACGACTGAAATAACAGTAAAGGGTAAAAAAAACTTAATTCACAAAATTAAAAAGGAAAAAACGGAATTTTAAAAAATTGAAACGGAATACGGGAAAAAAATGAAACGGATTTTTTAGGGCCCTACTAATGCAAGCCTGGTTAAAAGCCCTAGAATGAACCGACAGGTTTTCTTCCTTTTATGGTATGATCATGAATATTTAGATGAGCTGTGCGCTGATTGGTTGGTTTACAACGAGCGAAGCTGCTGAGCAAAGACGCATCATAGCAACAAGCGTTCACTCACTTAAACGTCAAATTGTTGATATGGTAGGGTGACAAGACGTCCTCTTTTTCCTGGACATGTCCTACTTTTCATATCTTAAAAAATGTTTGGGGGGACTTTCAAAATGTGCTGCACATATTACCCCTTTAAACAAGATATCAGATCTACATCAGGAACCAGCAAAAATATCTTCTCAAATCTCTACATGCTTCTCTAAGGTTTGAGTCATAATAGACCCGAAGGCAACAGGCCCAAATTTTTCCACGTTAAAGCATGTTAAAGCAGTCTGATATCTAACATGACGGCTAGTGCAAACTAATTTCTGTTTAATGGCCAGCTGAAGATCCTGCATTTCAAGTAAAAAACTATGTTTCTCACATTTGGATCTTTCTAAAGCTGGTGAGCATCAAACAGTAATGTCATATTACACCAACTGACGTATTTTACCAGCTTGATGAGTACTGCTGCTAAAAGAAGACGGCTTTAATAGAGGGAATGTCAACATGAGGCTTTAGAGTCGGCGGTTTGAATCAGAAAGCCCCCAGCAGGTTTGTTTACTGTCCACACACGGTCGGAGCTGCTCTAATTGATCGGCTCTGCAGGAAGCAGACACAAATGCGGCGACGGTTTGACGCTGCTGCTCTCTCTGTCGAGTCATGCTCGTTCCCTCTCCGTCCAGCTACGCCGCAGTGTGTCTGACGTCTGCTCGCTGCTAAAATCTCCCCAGCATATTGTGCCTTCAGAGGCTGCTGATTACAGTTAACTGGACGGGTCCGTTGGTGCAGAATCGCTGCAGCCCGCATCATCACACTCAGGGTAAAGCTAAGGCTTCCTCCTTTCCTTAAGAACCCTGCCAACGAACCAGCGATGTTACATTTCTGTTCTCATCAGAGAGGTGGGTCAGAAACTTCCTCACTCGTGACCATGAAGTGTGCAAAGCGTGCACCTCGGAGTGTGATGTAATGAGACTTCAGACTGGCTCTACCTCAGTGGGTTCAGGCAGAGTTCAAACAGGACATGCAGAGTTCAGAATACAGAGACGGTGAGTGATCATGGGATCATCACCAATACAGTGACGTTTCTTCACTCTTAACACAGATATCCCCTCAGAACATAGCAGATGGTTTAGTTTTGTAAAAAAAAATACAACATTCATTTGTTAAAACATGGTAGTAGCTGTATTATGCTGTGGTAATAGTCTAGAGTTAAAGAGATGTGAATATTTTTTCAGGCAACTCAAGGTGCACAGTTTTACATCCATCAACAGGATAAAGAAATAAAACCCAGCCATGGTTTCTGCTAGGCTATTTTCTGCTTTCCTGAAGGATTCTCCCTACAAATTGTCTGGTTTCAAGACGTTTGGTTCAGTGAAGTGAAAATTTGTGCAGAGTGGATGGATTTTTACTGTTTGATTCCAAGGTCGCAGTTGAAGATACTGTGAAGTGGATCCACTTCATTCTGCATTGGTTGCCTTTCTTAAAATCCAATAAAACCCACGAGCCGTCAGTTTAACCCCCCTCTCTGCTGTGTCTCAGTCCCAGTGGCTCTGTGCTGTCCAGCTTGGAGCAGCTAAAGACCTACCTGCTCACAGATGGAACGTGCAAATGCGGCCTGGAGTGCCCGCTCATCCTCCACAAGGTAATCTTCTTCTTGATTGCTTTTGTGGTTAAATGAAATGCTTTCTTTCACTGAAATAGGTCTGAAATTACGGTATGAGGCTTCCAAACTACTAAAGGAAAAAGGAAAGCCAGTTAAAAACGGCTGGAGAGTTAAAACAGTTACAGCTTCCACATGCAAAATTAGTCTTTGTAACTTTCTCCCAGTTAGAGGACAACAGTGGTTCTTCCTTAACTCCTGCCTCATTAGTCGAACTCTTGTTTTTTAAACTGTGTCATCTATTCCAGCTCAGCTCTCTTGGTCCACTCCAGCTGTTGGAGATCTTTGCACAGCTGCAACACACTTCTCCCTCAGTTTGAGTTGAAAACATAACCACTGGTTGTTCAGCAAACTGCCATCTGTTCCTATAAGGATCCTTCAAATTGCCTTCCATGTCATATGATCCAATGCATTAGTACAACATGCTACTATTTATGCACCCTTTTTACCCCCAACATTGATGAGTGGATTTCATGAATGATGAAACCAGATCCAATATATATATATATATATATATAGTGGGATAACATATGCTGTCGGTTGTCAGGTGTTCAACTTCGACCCAGGGGCGGCTGTTAAACAGAGGACGGCGGAGGATGTGAAAGCAGATGAAGACGTGACCAAACTCTGCATTCACAAGAGAAAGTTGCTGGCTGTGGCCACGCTGCACAAGAGCATGGAGACGCACCCGCCTCTGGGCCTCACAAGCCCCGGAGGAGGAGGTAAATTTACCTTTTCATGACTTTATAAGTATTTTCATTGAATAAATACAGATTGGTAGCCTGATAAACCAGACTAAATGTGAGATTAAATGTGTAATTTAGTCTGGCCCCGATGAATGAGACATCGGAACAACCCGTTGTTTTTCAAACCATGTCTGTGCCTATTGCCCAACGCTCTGACCAATTGTAAGCGTGACAGAAAGCTGGTGGGGAATGTAAACAAACAGCCTGTTACCTGTTCCCACGGCCACTTAAAGCCGATGGTTCCCGGGTTTAAAGGAATAGTACACCCAAAACATGATTAGCCTTCATTTTCTACTCACCCCCATGCTGAACAACACTCTGGAGTACTTTTTTGATATCTCAAATGCATCTGGAGATTTGGGAGGCTTCTTGCTGTCTGCTGCCATGTTCA